CAACAAAAAGAACCTTTGCTATATGTGTGTCCAGAAAAAAACAAATTTGCCAGGGCTTATGTGATTGGTTGATGCGACCCAGTAACTGAATAAGTGTAACTAACCTACTTTAAGGTCTTAAGGGTTAAAGAACACCTACACTAAAAAACAGGATTTCAAAGGGTTTATTATTTTTATAGTGATTGGTATTTTGTCTGAATTTGTTTTGACAGGGCCAGTGTCAGATTCTTTCCTTGAAAACAACTTCTCAGAGCTTCTGTATAAAATTACTTTGGGGCTGATGCAAAATGTCAGCTGAATCAACTCCCTCACAACATTGGCTTAAATTGCTTGAAGAATTTCAATTAAAGTTGCTATAATATGCTAACTATAAGAAAATATTAAGGTAACCTAAACTTTTCGGGGTTAAAAATCATAAGGCATTTTCAATTTGCATGCTTATACATGTTCATACATTTGTGCATTATTAACGAGGGTAGAAGTGAAGAGAAGTAGGTACTTTATCACGTCTTCGATTAGTTGTCTAGTAATATCTAGATCACACATTAGAAATAAATAAAGCAACATGCTGACAAAACTTACCTTAACAAGGCGAAATCTTACAAAGGCTTTTTCATCACCTCTGAAGATGACTCCCATGGTATAGAGGTTTAAGTGATAGAGTTCCTTTCCTTTTGTACCTTTGTTCATTTGAATTTGGAAATAAAGTTCAATTACCTGGAAATAAAGTTAAACATCATAAATGACCATACATTTCTATTACTGCGAACATACACATCATCAGTATCATTATAGCTGAAAAGTTAATCTAAGAATAATCACCTCTCCATAAATGTTCTCATTTGGGCCAAGTGACTGGAACTCTGTAGCACGTAATACATGAGACACAGAGTGATCCCTCGAAGTGACCACAGACACAATAGCCTCTCCTCCATTTTTGGAGAATAGCTGATTCACCTATGAAAAATATAAAAATATGACAAAAATCACCAAACTCTGATACTATGATACTTAATCTGCTTTTATTTTTCTCATAATTCTTTTAAATGTTTACTTACCCTTGCTTTTGTAGTTAAGGCAGTTTTTTCCTCCTCTGCTGCACAATCTATGCACCATTCCGACCCTTTGGACACCTGCATAAATAGTAACAGCATGTTTATATTTTCTGTTTGATTCATCAGAAAGTTGACCACATTGAATTTCTCTGTTTTTCATACCTCATCTCTACATTCTCCATCTTGTTCTACAGTGACAGAATTGTTGTTCCTGTCTTCCTCTCTGCCAGGCTGCAGTTCTGCACCTCCAGGTGATTCTTCAGGGCCTGGCTTTTTCTCTTTCTTTTTCTGTGCTTTCTTGCCTTTGGGAACTGGGAGTTTACTTGGTGTGTTGTAATATTTTGACCTGGTTTTAGGTGTGTTTTGCAATTGTCTTTTATGCCATTGCTCCTCTTTTGTTTCTATCTTCCCTGTTTTTAGACATCTGGTCTGAAGCTTTATGGGCATGTCCAGTTTTAGAATGTGCTCAGTGTATCTCCCTTTCAAAGAGGTATACATTTTGCGAATGAAATCTGCTACCCTCATCTTTCTCTTCTGTTGCAGGATGGAATGTTTAACTATCCCAAACCATGCTTCAACATGACAGTTTGTGTCCCGAGTTTGCTCCCTGGAGGCCAAAGAGCCATTAACAGAAGAATGCCGTGACAGATCTCCAAGGCACACTCCACTCCACATTGGAAAAATTTCCAGGTATGTATCAAAAAGGGTCTGTAACACTGTTGGGCAAAAATATTTGTTTTTTTTACTGTCATTAGGCATGACTATGTAGTTCTCCATGGCCACATTCTGGACTGTCCTGAAGGCAACAGTAAAGGGGGACCTGCCAGACATACTTCTCATGTTGTTCACCACCTCTTCACTTTCTTCCGGTATGTCAAAAGACAGATCAACATCTGAAGCCTTCTGGATAAGCTTAGACAGCTTTTCAATGCTCTCCTGGACAATAACTGTGTCATACTCAGTGTTAAAACCTATGCACATATGTTGGAATATGCCTTTAGCATCATCAAACATTGTAGTGTTCTGCAGAGCAGCAAAACAGTATGTGGAAAATTCACAGAGGCCTTTGTCATTTATTTTCCTGCCCACAGAACTGGAGAAGGCCTTTATAGCATGGGCTGCACAGATATGGATAATTGTGATATCCCAATCAGTCTTTTCCCCAGTAACTATTTTAAAGGACCTTTCAAGGTATTGGGGTATGTTTTCTTTGTTAAATCCCAATAGAGCACTCTGAATTAGTGCCCAGCTGTAGTCCACTTCAATCTTGTGAACACGAATTGTGGAACACTTTAGAAGTTTATTTACAAATTTCATTAGCCAGAATGAAATTGTTGGTACATCATGATCATTTGAAAGCATTTCTGATACAGGAAGTGGTGGTGTCTCATTTCTCATGCCTGGTAGAGTTAAGCTGTAGTATAGCACTTTTGTGTCCTGGTTTGGAATTTTTGCAACAACACCACCAGTTGCATCTAGATATAATGAAATCTGCTTCTTGCTTCGCAAATGATTGAGCAAAATTGAGATTCCTCTCTCAGTATACAGATGGACTGCAAATGGGTTAAGCTGGAGATGTTGGATATAACCTGGCCAGTTGTTAAAATCTGTATCACAGTCCTTCATAATGCTCTGAGTAAGCATCAACTCCAGCATTACATTGTCATGCAGCCGTGTAGTCTTATTCAGCTCTGAGGAGATGACCTTAAGAACATTTTTGTTCAGGCAGTTACTGAGGTTGCCAGCAGAAAGCTCTTCTTTAGGTGTAGCCTGTAATTTCTGATAGTAAGTATTGCTTACACCCTTCAAGAGAGATTTTGCAATTTTTCCTCTCTTCCTCATGCTGGCCCATCTTTGATGTGTCTGTCCTTTTTTGTGCAGGATTGGACCACAACGCAGAACTCTGACTTGAGCAGGCTGATATTTTTTTGGTTTCTGCCCAATCAAAAAACAATATTTGGCCCTACATGAAGAAAAGGTGCATTGTGCAAGGGCCTTAAAAAAGGGGGCATGAGTTTTCCTGCTGTCATTTTTTTTGATCCACTAATATTTAAAAGAAATAGGGCAGTTGGGGTTTCTTTTTCTGAACTCTTGATACATGACATGGGTCCAGGATCTTTTCAGTTGTTTCCCATTTTTGGAGGGGGCTATCTTTTTCCATTGCTTATGGTTTAGAACCATCTTAAAGCATCTGGGCACAAATTGTGTTTTTCGCCATTTTATTTGACTAATCTTTGACTCCACTACATCATCAGTCCTAACTTCTTCCAGATGAACTATATCTTGTACATCTTTATGATATTCAGAAAAATTACCTGATTTATGTTCCTCCTCTTCCTCATCTTTGTGTTCAGTAATATCAAGTTCCTCCACAAATCCAAGCCTCCCCGCAGAATTATTTTTAAATTGTTTGACTACATCTCTCAGACCCTTTCTGTTGCTGTTCCATACCACAGAAAGCCACTTGCGATTTTTAATGTTGTCATTTTGAAAGTCATTAAAGAGATTTCTGACCAGATATTAGAACTGAATGGTATCTTGTTGGGTACGTTCCCTAATTTACTAAAATGGATAGCCAAATTTTTCAAACCACCAATTTCAGCCCATAAATTGGACCTTCTTTCATTGGGTAGAACCTTCATGTGTGCAAACCTGTTTAATTTTTTAGCGGTATATTGTCCCGACACTGTCTAAGCTGAGATGGTAAAAACGAGTCTTAAAGACTTTACAAAAAAAAAAAAATGTTATCTGAATATTATCAAAAACATAAAATCAATAACTGGTACCTTGTTCAATTAGCTACTGTTCACGAACTGATTTGGAAGAATTCCCGAACTCCTTTTCACCTCGTTACAGCTTCGAAATGTGCAGTAGCATTTAAAATAATGATGCCCCCAGTGGATGATAAACGTACTGCAGGCAAAACCGTCAATATCTATGAACTCCCCAAGCAAAACGAAATGACAAAGCTGGTCGTCATTTAGATGGGAGTGTTACATTTAATAAAATTATTTTCAGTACTGCATTGCATTTTACGCTTAAGTATCGTTGTGTGTCTACATGTCATTTCGTGTGTACTAAATAAATATTTTATTTTAACTGGTTAACCGTTTGTCTGGTTTGTTTGCTTACTAAGTGATAATGAACTACAGGTTCGACTGAAGGGATGACTGCTGTATGCTGGAATATGCTCAGCAGCATTAGCACCAGAAATTTAAAGTCAAAAGGTGTTCTTCTGTTTGATCAGCATTTATATTTTAAGACACGTGAATGTAATTGAACAAGGAAACTGTCATTCTACAAACAATGTATTCGAGTTCTGCAAAACAGCCCCAATTTCAAAAAAGTTGGGCGAGTATGAAAAATGATTATGAAATAAAAAGGAGGAATTTCTATACTCTATTCATCCTCCATATTGGAAATCTGGAAACAACTCATTAAACGGGTGTTTTTGCTTGTGAATTTAACTGTTTAATGAATTTCAATACATTTCAATATTTAATAATTTAAAAAAGAATTACTCGAGAAATCTGATTAGTGCAAGCTGAAATGAAGTTGCTGGACTCATTGTTTTTTGAGCACTGGGATGCTGTATGTCCCACCTGCACCAAAAGCAATGGATTTGAGGCATATCATTTGATTTCACAAATTTTCTACAGGTTTCACAAGTGCCATTGTGCATGATATGTGTAGCTTTACTCATGTACTTTATCCACAGGCTGAAATTAAGTTGCTGGACTCATTGTTTTTTGAGCACTGGGATGCTGTATGTCCCACCTGCACCGAAAACAATGGATTTGAGGCATATCAGTTGATTTCACAAATTTTCTACAGGTTTCACAAGTGCCAAAGGCTATGACATGTGTAGCTTTACTCATGTACTTCAACCAGAGGCTGAAATAAAGTTGCTGGGTTCATTGTTTTTTGAGCACTGGGATGCTATATGTCCCACCTGCACCGAAAACAATGGATATAAGGCATATCAGTTGATTTCACAAATTTTCCACAGGCTTCACAAGTGTCAAAGGCTATGATGTGTGTAGCTTTACTCATGTCCTTGAACCACAGGCACAAATTTAGTATAGTCAATGTTCCACCTGCATAGAAAAATAATGGACATGTTACCTTATACCACTATTTACAGTTTCACGAGTGTTAGTGGGCCATGTATGTGCTTGTCATTTCTTGTAAGTACGTGCCACATTGGAATAGCATTTTAAAGTGTTTCATGTGTTTTGTAATAATCGTTTGTTGAGCTACTCCTTTTTTAAATTTGGGACTTTTATTTTGAAATGTCGCATTCTGTCAAAACCCAAGCGAACGCGTTAATTCACACCAGGAGCTGCATTATTTTGCTTTTTCACAATTTACTGGATATAATAATTGAATAACCAAGGTGCGCATGTGATTTCACAAACACACGCGTATTTGTGAATGTGCAATTTACTTTGTTTTGTAATGTTTTAATAGAGTAAATTCGAAGATGATCTATGAATGTCTGGCGAATATCGAACCCACTGCTAACTTTACTGCGGTCCCTTGTGTTTGTTCATCCCGCTCTGCTGCTATGTCCTTTGTCCCGCTTGTTAAGACACTAACTACTTTTACATGGCATCCATCATAAAAAACACTGGCCAGATTAACTGGAAATGAGGGGAGGGGTGAACATACCTGCAGCTTTACCCTCTGTATTTTTGTATACATTTGTATCAAAACATCCATCCATTTAATTTCCTAACGGCATCAAAACAAAACAATAGGTCCATGCCTACCGCTGCAATATCTAGTGAGCATTTGAAACGCATTCTGTTTCGGCATGTTATAGTCTACTTAAAATAACTGCGTAGTAATGCAATTAGAGTGAGAATAATAAAATATTAAGAGCTTCTACAATTAAAAACTGGATAAGGGCAACATTTTTAAGGCATAACCACATGCTTACAAATACGGGGAGGCCTACCAGCGCTATGTTGCGGTGTGCAGTCCGTGTCCACTTTAAGTTTCCAAATCCTCCATCATGGTCGTCGGCTCGTATTTATTTTAACTTCCCGTTTGTTAACAAATTTGCATTTCTCGACTTGATGCTGCAGATTTAAGGCAACACTTAAACCTGAACCAGGCCATACTCCTTTGATTCATGAACAGGCCGCGATAATTATTATTTTTAGAAGCTGACAGCTTCTAAATTACCACTAATTACTGTCAACTTTGAAAGAAATATATAGCGAATGCCATTTAATGATTTTCGATAATATCATAAAATCTAAGGCTTTTCGTTTATGTGGTATTTTAGAACTTCCTACACTGTGACTGTTGTAAATATTTTTTCTATCCATAAGCTTATCATAACGTGTTTATTAACAATGCATAATATAAAGATTTAATCTTCTCGAGTACACTGAGGTATGCTTTGGCACGTAGCTCTGCACTTTTGCACGCCTTGCTGCCACCAGAGACTTAATGGATTTTGGTGTAGGTCATCAATTAACAAACCTCGTCACGCAACCGGTCCGGGGACATCGATCCGGACGTAAAACGGCCTCTGTTAGCGAAGCCATAAATCCACGGCCACAGTAAGTAACAGAAAAGCGAGGCGAGTGAAACCTGTTATACAAATTATAAAGCACTGAATGTCCCAGATCTTCGTATAGTGAGATTAACCTTCAATTCAAAGCTTTTAAAAAAATATAACTCGTGGATGATTCATAGAGACTTGGTAACAACTACGTTGATTTAATGCACTTCTTGTTGAATGTAAAGGCGAAAGTGGCACATTGTCACATTGAGGGGAGGCGACGGCTATAACTATGAGGCGAGCCGCGCTGCTCAGCTTGAAGCGCAGATTTATAGATAGGAAAACGGAATAAAACGCGTAGGGAGACACCGGTCAATGACACAGACCTTAACAATGAGAAACGTACGCGGTGCACGACAGCGCGTCGGTTTTGAATTACATCAAGACACGATGGACCTGCGGCAGCCGGTGTTCTAACGAGTTGAGCTACCTATCGAGACGTACTATCGAGCCTTTTTGCGCATGTGCATTTCTACCGTTTGGGGGTTAGGGTTAGGTTTTAGGGGTTTGGGTTAGGGCAGGGGTACCCAATCTGGCCGGTGTGTATGCGGATTTTCGCTGCAACTCCCTGATTAGATTACTAATTATTGATTGGCTGAACGAGTCTTCACACCTGGTTTTGAACAGCAGACCTACTGTACAGGTTATCCCAAAAACCTGCATACACACCGGCCTTTTGCAGATAAGATTGGGTACCCCTGGGTTAGGGTGAGGGTTTTTGGGGGGTTAGGGTTAGGGCTATCGATTAGCACTACGGTAGCCTAACTCGACAAAGTAGCTCAACTCGACAGAACACTAGCGCTCCGCTCATCATTAGCGGGCCGTTATTATAGGAGGGGGCGCCGCCGTATTAAATCACCTGCCTGCCCCCTTTAAGTGACATTTTGCTGCGGTTTTTTAATGACGTTTTTATTAAGTGATCCGTTTAAGAACAGTCGGTCTCATTTTTAATTAACGTCCTCGGTTAGTATGAAATTCAGCTCCAGAATTATGCAATTTTAACGTAACATTATCACTATTTAAAAGTTAATTTGTATCTTTCATATTTCATATGATGAAATATGAATTATAAGGCAGAACAGTATAATTTGTGTTAAGTGGTAAATTATATGTTCAGGTAAATAAAATACAGGCCTATACAAATCCGAGTGATTTATATACATACATATATATATATATATATATATATAATTTCTCGTCTCCACGTTTATGGTGTGTGTGTGTGTGTGTGTGTGTGTGTGTGTATGTATATATACACACACACACACACACCATAAACGTGAAGGAGACGAGAAATTGGACACAATACATAACCTGACCACAAAATCCCCAAATTTAGGTCACGGCATCCGAATAACGTTAATGGTTGTCCAAGCCTACTGAAAGATTGTTTGAAGACTTACCACTGGGTGGCAGTAATGCGGAAAACCCTGCGCGAGAACCATGGCGCTCTACGTGGAGCAGCGTTTCTCCTGTTAGACGCACGGAAATTGGTAAGAAACAATGACTGCGCGCTTGCCGAACCACTACAGTATAACCCATTCACAGAATATGTGTAACATTTGAAACCATAGTACTCTGCCCCTACCCCAATATTTGTTACTTACACAGTTGACAGTTACATTCAGAGGCACAGTAGGAGCATGGATACCCTGACAGATTCAGACACCTTTTAATATGTAAAATTATAAAATTATATAATTTCAGGGGGCAGGGGGGCCCAAGGTGACATTTTGCCAGGGGCCCCAGAATATATAGGTACTCTCTTCATTATATATGTTATGAACTTAAAACCTACATACAAGTCATCTAGTCCGACTGACACATTTTCAAAAGTGTGAAGCTTAGGAAAATGCCACCTAGGCATTTTCAGTTAACAGTATTCTCTCCCAACAAGATACAAAGCTCCTACTGGTGCAAAATAAAGCACATGCTGACACGAGAAAATAATACAGTGGGTGTCACCATTGAACAAGGAGAGAGAAAAATCCAAGTTCTGACGATTTGCTCCGTGCATAAATTTAACTCCATTGACTTTGAATACAAAACTTAAAACAATGTCTCCTGCTATTGAGAGAGGGTGACTTTTTTCATGAAAACAAAAGTCCTGCTTCTCTGTTCACAGTGCATGTAGTGCATTTGGATACATTGTTCGCCAACATGTGATTGCCAAAGTGACCTTTGTTATTTTTTTTTTTAAATGTAATTCTCTGTTAAGGGGATACTTTAATGCTGCTTTAGAATGTGCTGCACTTTCAGGGCTCCCTGATCCATATACGACACAAAGTACAAAGTTAGTATCCCCAAAGGAGACAGCACTGCAAATCCCTGTGTCTCCAGTCTCTTCAGACCTTTGAAATTCCCTACACCAGCGTTTCAAGGCAAAACCAAAACCTCCCGTTTATAGAGCCAGTTCCAAAGTCCTCTTCTGTCCATACATTTTATCTACAGAGTCCATTTCCCCTGTCCTTAAAAGACAATAAGGGGAAAACAAATATTTATTTTCATGTGCCCAACATTTGCATTTGCACCTCTCAAACCCCAGAGTCTGTATAATGAAAAATGCTTTATAAATACAAATTATTATAATAGTGTTACATAATCTCCTCATGAAGGACTTGCGCAGAATAAGCTTGGCCAGGAACAAATATCCCCCTTGACCCAGATTTCCAAACTGCAAAACACCTGAGAATCTATTTGGCCCCTGGACACCAATTTGTCAGTGTACTTTGGCGCCCTCTCTGGTTAGCTGCAGAACAAGAGTCGCCAGTCGGGTTGCTAAATGATTAAAATAACAAAAAAAGATTCACACTTACAATAGGATTAAAGAATGACTATAATGAGCACAGAAGCAAGCACCAAATGAAGGAAAATGTATGTAGAAAATGGCCATAAGGGTTATTTTGTCTTAAGGTTGGAAAGGAATAGACCTAGAAATGAGGGTTATCAAGACTCTTACCAATATTAACCAGATGAACAGAACAACAACAGACTAGTGCAGTAAGACCCAGGGGTCTTTTTGTCCCTTAGGCCATATATCTTAGCATGAAATGTGCTGTACAATGTGGCAGTTATTAGCATTACTCTTATTATGGTTATTACTGTAATTAGCCAATACTTTTGCCCGAAGCGTCACCGGTGGTTTTTTGTGGCGGTCCCTTGCCCTATTCTTACGAGAATGCAGTGTTGCATAGGAGACAAATTACCATCTCACATTTTTCTCCTTTTCCTTTGTGTCAAAGTGAAATTTTGAGATAGGGGGATATGGGTAGCCTCCCGCCTGCAGTGGCCCCCCCACTCCAAAAGCGACTAATCCTAGTAAATTTCCCACAGTTCATGACGGTGTAGCAGCTACACAGGCTCAGCAGATGCAAGAAAGGCTGTTCCAAGCTCAGCCAGGCGTGGCTGCAAACAATTCGTTGTGATTAAGGGCTGCCGACAGGTGGGGGCATATCTGTCAGCTAAAAACCTCACCCCACACACCCCCAATCACACTGTACTGTTAAACAGCCACAACCTCCGTGCAGAAAAAAAGAAGAAATAAGTCAATCCGGTTTTACACTTGAAAACAAATATTTTATGTTTAGGGTCTTCCCAGATCAGTTTGGATATAAACGTAGCAAATGTCACAACACCTCTGATAGCGATTGGAAGGAGAGAGGAGTACACTCAAGATATGCGGGTGGCACCTTCCAGAAGCAGAAATATTTTTTATCAGTATGAGGAAAAAATAACCGTGGTATGCAGACCCAGGAATGTACAGAGAGACAGGATTTTAAAGATTTAATTTCGGATTGAAAAAGCAGATAAAGGTCACCTCACCGCCCGAACTGAGTGTTATTTCCTCATCACTTTCCGCTAAGCGAATCAAAGCATAAACGGCGAAACTTTCACAGATGTGTGGACTGACGCAGACATGTGACGGACGTCACACATTGGAGGGGGGGCTGGTTTCTCCTCCACTCCACTGACCTGAAAGCATGCGTGTCCTGTCACACTGCGTCAGGTGGCTACAAAGTGGTGTAGGACACTATTTCCTGGTGCACCATACCGGGAATCCGCATTAAGACATTGGACAGCTTGAAAAAACCACCATAACCAAAGTGGATGGAAACTGCCAAGGAAAAACATTTAGAATCACAGCCAGTTTAAACTGACACTAGACCCTTTAAGAATGTTTTTTTTCTTTTAATCTGCATTTGAGGTTGACTATTTTATAAAATTCTCATAATGAAAAATCATTCTGTATACAGGTAAAGACATATCACCAATTAATTAATAATAATCAACAATGCCACTGCCTGTTAGGGGCATACAGGCACATCGGTCACCCGATCTCTTCTCTCTCCTGTTCCATTAGGTCTTAAGGTCACTATGGGGTTTTTATTTTATATTATGGAGGTAATTACCCTATAATGGGAGTGCACAGCTCAGAGCGTCGCATGGTGGGCGCATGGCAACGGTGGTGACGGACCACTGTGTCCGTATTTAAAAAAGAGGAAGTGGTGAAAGGTTGCAAATGAGAATTTCCTATACTATCTGGAGTCAAAACCTTTACCACAGAAATAAGCTCAGTTTTTTGGTCGCCCTCACGCTCCTGAGCGGTCAGCAGTTCAGCTCATTTTAAAAGGAGTCCGACTGATCCAACGCAGACAGGAAGGAGGGTCTCAGGCTTGCTGGCATCCAGCTTGTGGTCTTCATTTTCCCACTTGAGACACATGTCCCTGAAGTCACAGGAAAACACACCTGTCCCATCTTTAGATGATCCTTGTGCCCCACCGGTGTCTAAGAACATTCCGGCAGCCCACAAAGCCCGAAATATGCTCCCCTGCGGAGAGGCCAGACTTGGTGAGGTCCAGGTCTGCACACCTCCTCCCCTGACTCTTCACCCGCTCGTCAGCTCGGAGTCGGGAGGCTCAAGGGCCTCTGCGGTGTCTTCCAGCTTCTCCAGCAGCTCCGTGAAGGAAGGTCTCTGGAAGGCCTCCATCTATCCCAAAAAGACAAGATACTGATGCTTCTTTGGGTTCTGCCCAACCAACCAGATTGAGTAAGCCGCTCTATACCCAATGCAACTCAATAGCTGTTAAAGGGAAGGTTCCGTACCAGCTCTGTATCCTACGCTCTTAAGGACTTTGTATTGACAATTAACACAATACAAAAGACAAATGATGATTATGAGAATGATGATCATCATTGTAATTCTCATTGGGTTTATAGTTGAACCCTTTAAGCTCAAAGTTGTCATTGTCCTGCCCATCAGTCCCTCTTCCAAAGGAACATGAACACTTAGCGGCCAGTTTATTAAGGTGCACCTGCTCGTTAACGCAAACAGCTCCTCCAAACAGCCAATCACGTGGCTACAGCTGAACACATACAGCATGCAGAGAACTGGTTAAGAGGTTCAAAACAGTTACACCACTTGGTTTAAGTGATTTTGAATGTTATGTGATTGCCGGTGCAAGACACACTGGTTCTAGCATCTCAGGAACAGCTGCCTCCCCCTGGGATTTTAATGCACTGCAGTATTTAGAGGGTGTAGCACAATAAACAGAGGGGGGTCCTACCTGGTACTACCAGGTATGTGTAATCTAGTGGCCACTGAGTGTAGTCAGCCCAGCAGCCCAGCTGAGGTGAAGCATCACCCTACAGAATTAAACGTGCTGCTTTAACCCGGCAGCTGATCGTCACAGGCGCTTCATTAACGAAGTGCTTCAATAATTTAAGCAAACCATGTATCAACAGCACAAAGCCAGGGGCGCAGTCAGGGCACAGATAACCTGGCAGATTCAGGGGGCCCAACACATTACGGGGGGTGGGGGGTGGTCAGGTAACGTTTTGTCAGCACGATTTCTAGCCCCTGCACAAAAGAAAAAATAAGCTAACAAAAGTTAATAAATGAGTGCAAGTAAAAACTATTCTTAACGTTTTAAATGTTGGGGAAAAAAAAAGATTCAGTTCCCTAGCGGCACTGTCTAGTGCGATTATTAAGGGGGGGTGTATTACCAGCCTCTGATACTGTAAATTAGCACCTAGACAATGCGTTATGTCATGGGGTCTCAAACTTCTCAGGTCATGACCCCCAAAATAGCAGTGCCAGAGACTGATGGAGGGAGGGGAGATTCCACCAACGGGGGGCGGGTACCCCCACAGTAGGTTTACTGCAATCAACCAGCCCCAGTAACAATGGATTTTTTGTTTTCCTTTTTCACTTTTTATCAACATACTCTATATACTCTAATCGTCTAACAGCCCCCACTATATAGAGATGAAAGAGAAGGCGGCTTTACTCACCAGGCAGCACCAGGCAGCCAGGTGCAGCAGGCACTGCGGACAGTCCTGTACCATCCCCCGGAATGCGGTCACGTCCAGGCCGTAATCCTGATGGATACAAGCACTGCATCAGGGGCAAAGCGGCTGGCAGAGGACTGTAGGGATCACGGTGCCGGCTTGGCACTGGCCAACCACGCCGGCTGTATGAATTAGGGAAGATGTGCAGATAATCACCCCCCCACTGCGGCACACACCGGAGTGACGCCAGTTTACCAGGGTGGAAGCATTGTGAGGCATCGAATCTGCCAGACAAGCACCCAGCGTCCAGAATCGCCTTACACCAAGGGGGCTGTGTCATCACACACCCCGCTCAAATTCACAGAAAAAGCCCCACCCTGGTCATAACCGAAAGACAAACCATTTGTCTGCAACATAATCCCAAACAGCAATGCACCATTCTAATATGCCACACTAATTTTTAGTTCTTCTGAAACCAACACGTCCGATGTTGTGGTTTTCCGTCTTGTAGTTTCTAGGAAAGAAAACCAATTCCACTGAATGTTTGCTTAATAGCTGCCTCTCTCCAAAGCAATTTGGATGACGAACAGTTTTAATTATTTACATAGATGACTATAATTGAAATAATGTTTGCTCCACCGCTCAAGGAAAATAGTTTATTCTATTATTACAATACAGGTGTCTCTGGACAATAATCTGACTACATTTGAAAATAATTTTAGAAAGAAAAATATTCTGCTCCATTGAAATGAATCGCCTTATTTATTAAACTAGGTGATTAAAATTCTGATGCTTTCACAGACACACGAGTGACACGGCAAAGATTAATCGATGCAGTTTTTGAAATCCTGGGTTATGCCCTCTTCTTCTTCTTGAAGGATAACTGATGCCTGTTTTCAGTTGCACTGATGCATCACATATATTAAACCACTGGATGATTTACTTGAAGTGACTTTAAGTAAAGCTTCAAAATCGGCCTCTTTGCCAGGCAAAATGACTCATTGATTGTGAGCTTGGTGGGGTGGGGGACAAGATTCTACAGGTCACAGAGATTCAGCCACATAATTATACATTATTTTAAAAGACCTTTAATTTAAGCTCCACCCAGACCAGTCAACTGAAGCCACATGTCTCAGTCCCCATTTAGGCTATAAATGTGTTTTTATTTATGCTCGTCTTTATTTAGCCTGCATGGCTGTCATTCGTCGACATTTTCTGAAACACTGAGATCTACAGGTTAAGTTTTGTGCTGAAATGTTTAACAGGTCAGGAGATGGGGAGATGTGGCAGTTATTTTATTTTGGAAATAATCTCTAAAATGTGATGGTTAAAGTTCTATATGTAGCTTGGTCCTGTGCTTTCAGAGATGTAAATAATTTTTCTGTGGCAAAATCAATACACAAACATGAGGGGTTTCACTGTTGGAAAGTTGACAGGCACTCTCCCTCCAAACTGAGTGATTACATTTTTTAGCTTAATTTAAAATCAACAGGAAAAACAGCAGTAACACAGACAACACTTGGCTATATTCATAACTTCCATTCTTATTCAACTCATTTATTAATGTTCTTTCTTTGCATTTTACAGGAAGAGGGCTTATCCAGCGAACAATTCAGTTAATAGCATCCCTAAGGGGGCAGGAGGAAACTGCATTTTAATTCATTCTTCATTCGGCTCACGCAGCAAGTTTCAGACAATTCCAGCATTCTAGGACTGCTGCCCTCTAGTGACCAATCTGTGTGAAATTCACTGTGCAAAAGGACTAGCGCTGTACAAATGCATACAGAACAGGCAGGCCGTGCATTGGGAAGACTGTAATTGTTTCAAATTGGAAACTGGTAAAAGGCAAGGAATATGCTCAGGAGAGTGAGGTATGCACAGTAATTGTTTCTAACAAGCGTCCTTTGACACCTTAATTGTATCATAAACAAAGACAGGCAATACCTCTGGAGCTGAATAAGGGATGAAAAAGGAATAAAAAAATTTTTTTTAAAAATCTAATACAATTTAAACTGATGACAACTGTTGTATTGTTTAACTTGTTGTATTGTTTGAATTATGATTTTTAAAATGGTTTTAGGGATCCATGTTGATCAGACTGAACATCTGGACCAAATGTCAGATATCAGATATTTGCCCAATAGTCCAGATCAACCAAAATCAGAGACAAGCAAATACAGATTTTGAGCAAAAACTGGATTTTTTTACAAATTAAAAAGAAAGAAAATGCTCAAAAAATGAAAAGTCAATATGTTTACTTTCAGTAACAATAGCACCCCCCAATGGTCAACAATCGCTATGCGCATATGCAACACTGCCCTTCACCTGTAAATTAATTTAGAAAAAGGGTCAGTCTGTTTGGAGATGAATAATAATAAGGAAAATGGCTATGAGAAGCCCGGTTCTTTAACCTGCAGCCATTTGTTTACCTGTGTTCTTGGAAGGACTTCTGGGTCTGCTGGGATTCTGCCCAGAATCTCACACAGCATGATGCCAAAGGAGAAGACGTCCACCTAGAAGGAGCAAAGGGGACAGAGAGGCAGCTGTCACTACAGTCAGGGGCTGCCCTTACCTGTGCCGCAGTCCATTTATTTCATAGTTTTACAAGACAATATTACTTAAAATGAGCTGCTGAATCACCTTGCGGTCGTAAAGCTCCCCTCTCAGCATTTCTGGGGCCATCCAGAAAGCGGAGCCCACTAGAGACAGCTTCCTGCCTGGGTCCTTAGATGGCAGCTCCACCACTTCCCGGGCCAAACCGAAGTCCGTCACCAGGGCCTCTCTGCCCCGTGCCGTCACCCTGATCAGGCAGTTCTGCTCAGGGAGAAAAGGCCCTGGTTTTTACTCTGTTACTAGCATATTTGATTTATATTTTACAATACAATCCTGCTTGTCGACAACACTTCCACATACGTATAATTGCTACGGATATTCACATCTGACTACATTTAGCAAGTGTTTTTTTTTTCCCCCTTGGCAGGAACAAAAAAATGCAACCACGACGACCCCTGGGCGCCTGATTTTCCCAAATTGACCAGAAGTGGGCGCTGTAAGGCAGTGAATGTTTTCGCCATGCCTGGCACGTGTGGGGGAGGGAGCTAGCAGAATATAAATCACAATAACAATGCATTAAATATTTATGCAGTCATCCTAGCGATTACACAACAGAACACAACACCAATGAAGATTACGTTTAAAAGGAGAATGGTTAAATTTAGATACCTTGACCCACAGAATACTTGTTTAATTCAGTCAATTTAATTAATTAATTGAGTCGAAAACCATAACAGACATACTAGACATTTAATAATGCTTTAAGTTTGCTCTGCATGTAGGCACACCTATTCTTCAAATTCACCAAAAAAAGCGAGTGCACAAGAAGTAGGTTGATCTTAGCGAATCTGGTTAGCAAATATGAGTTACACGGGGTAAAAAATATTAGTGAGGTTCCGTTACTGCAATGGGAAAGTCAGAATAGAAATCGCTGCAGGAGCCGCATGTGTTTCGCGTTAAGCGCGCCGCCTCCGCGCTCTTCACGGGGTAGCCTGTCATCTCACCGGGTGTGAGCCCTCCTCGGGCCCCGTGGCCCTCGCTTTGCAAGCTGCAACTGCACGACGGCCCTGGTGCAGTGTGCGTGTGTTTCCTCGCTTTCACAATTCATAAAATATGCACCGCACCAGCATCCATAGACATCTGGCAGACGCAGAAGTAGACCGCGTGGGATAATGGCCGCGTGAGATAAAGGTCTTGTGCATGCACCATAAGGACACCTTCATTACACAAAAAAAAAACTGAAAAAAAACATCACCTTATAATGTTGTATTTAATATATTCTTTGTATTATTTCATAGTACGTACTGCACAAGCTTTACTAAAGCAAGTCTTCGTATTCATTGACAGTAACGTTCCAGCAGGACGGCAGCACGCAATCCGGGACTTCCACAGCTTTCTGTCACAGCCGTTTAACCACTAGCAATTACCTCATTAGCTCACTTATTTTTAACCGAAGCAGCCAAAAGCCACTTTAGATGTGGGTTCTGGCAAGATTAATACTTTTTTTTTTTAGTAAGGTTTAAAGCTTTTGGATGTCCACACTCTATTTATGTAGGGCAATTTATTTTACAAGTTTCACTTTTAATCTCAAGTTAAAAGAACAAAATAAAACCACTACGGCTTCCCTGAGCTACATTGTTGCAGGTTTGGTATCAGGACACGAAGGGTTTCTCCGACCGAAAGCCCAAAATGATCTGTGTTTGGGTCACATCACGCCTCCGTGCCTCTGCCACGTCCTCACCTTGGAGTTGAGGTCCCTGTGGTAGATGTTCTTGTAGTGCAGGTAGCTCATTCCCCTGGCTATGTCACAGGCCAGCTCCACCTTCTCCCTCCAGCTGAGAGGTACATCCTTCCGAGCCAAGAGCTCCTCCAGGGATCCACCATTCATGTACTGCAGCAGGACAGACCAGTTCCATAACGTGCCTGGCACCACTGACCCCCCCCCCCCCATCAAAGTGTCTCACATCAAAACTCCTCAGTCATGGCTCGCTGAGGCGAAACCGGAATAAGCAAACTCACCTCTAGGATTGGGTACAGCTTGTCTTCTTTCACGCAAATTCCAAGATACCTGGAGCAGGTAGACCAAGTTTCTGTGAGCGTCAACTTCCCTCACACCAGAACACAGGGGTGCCGGTAAAGATTTTTAGGCCCTATGAAAGCACATTATATTGGGCCCCCAAACCAGATCAATTGGATTATATTCCAAATTTTTAGGACCGCAGTCACTCAGGGACCCTGAATCTTCCTCAATGCCCCTGCCAGAACTTCATTAAACACTCTAAACCAGTTACTCCAACAGGCAGGACCATAAAGGCCGTAGAAAGAATGGAGGACATATGAGTAAGACGTTGGTTTTAGTGACACAGGTAGAGTTGCTGCTTGCAGTTCTGAAAGGAGACCCACATCAGGAGATCTTTATTCACCTGTAGAGCTCAATATACAGCATGGAAAACAACACAAGTACCCTGTTCTAAGGTAAACACCCCTCCTCCTCCAGGTACTTTGTTCTTTGCATCGATGCCATTATTTGCATGGTAGCGTTAAGTCTTTATCTCGCATAATTCTTTTCATCATAATCTGCTCTTGATGCACACAGTTTGATAAGGATGCCGTCACCTTGTGCAACGGGAGCCAAGTGGGAGGAATGTCAGATTGGATGGATAAACAGAAAGGTGTGAAGGAGCATGCAGCTGGAACCCCATCATCTGATAACGCAGCTTTCGTGAAAGGTGAGTGAGGGCTTGTCGCATTCATTATGTGTAGCCCTTGCATTGCCGTGTTATTAAAAAAAAAAACCCTCTCGGGTTACATTCCTCAACGCGAGTGCACTTTCTTCGTTTTGAAAGGAGGCATATGAACACTGGGCCATAAAGGCATCGTCTTTTGTGCCCCACAAAGAGGTCAAAGGGTTGAAGTTGTTTCAGCGTGAAGCTCAGATTGAAGTTAAACTTTAATGAGGGTGGTCAGTTACAGTTAAAAGGCTGAACAGCGGAGTAATTTATTTATCGGAGATGGTACAGGGAGCACCACAGAAGTAGCTACAGGGTTGCATGAGCGAGGGCTGTTGGAGGCTGACCTCACAATGTTGGGATGGGAGAGCTTTTGCAGGAGGGTGATCTCGCGCACGATGCTGTCCTGGTCCACGTCGTTCCTGTAGATTTTCACCACCATCACCTTCCGCGATGAGTTGTGCACAACCTGACCAACAGAGGGTGACATTGGATTCTCAGGCAGCAGCAATGTTTGTGCATTGCTGAGAAGCTCCTTTTCAACTTGGACACTGCAAATATGAAAGGAGGGAATCTGGTCCGTGCAAGTCCAATAATCTAGTGAACTAGAATTCTAGGAGTTCCAAGCTGTCGTCTACATACTCCTTGCCTTTTACCAGGCAAAGAAGGACATTTGGGTACAGGCCTTACTACAATCAGATGGGTGCTGTTTAGAGTGTCAGGTCCATAACAAAATCACTAAGGATGCATCTGAACCTAGTGAGGAGGCACAATCCCTGCAACCACGTCACAGTCATGGACTGATTGACTTCCACCTGAAGGTATATATAATTAATTTGAGGCTGCTATGTTCCTTTGTAAACCTGAGTCTCTCTCAGCACCAAAACTCAACCAATCCATTCTTCTTTTTCAGATCATGACTAGAGGCCCCATGGTTTCAAATGTTCCTTTGATAATCACGTTGCCTTGGCAGGCACTGTGGAAAATACTGTAAATAGACCATGTTATCGGGGTTGACTATCTCTGCATGAGATCAAATCAGGGTTCCAGCTCAATGCAAACGTGTTAACAGAAGGGGGGAACAGCCATCTGTGCTGCCTTAAAACACAACCCAACATGGCCCCCAGATCTCAAAGCTCTCCCCCCCCTTCCATATGCAATATCAAAGAACTGACTTGCCCCTTAACACTCAGACTCTTCTCTAGAAGATCAAGACAACAACTGTCCTATCATGCTCCAGTAGGATGACTAAAGGGATCCTTCCTCAACTAAAACCTAAATTACAACGAAAACAAGCTCACGCTCTTAACAGGATGCTGCCATGCTCTCGTGGTGCTAGTTAAGGACCACAGGACATCACAATTTCAGGAAAACACTTGGGTCACATGTTACTCCTACGCTTGCATGGCGATTCAAATGTGCAGCAATTACAAAAAAAAAGCTGCTGACACTAAGTCTGACTCAGGCATTTTTAATACCTTGCATTAATACTGTGCCATTTGCTTCTGCCTCACCTCCTGCAGGCTCCCCCCATAACACGTTCCTTTCGTTCCCTGACCCCACAACTGGCTACGTTTTCTGCTCGCACTTCAGCACTACATATTCAACCTGTTCCATACGGCACAGTTTGCACATCTGCGCTGTGGGGGGATGAATGTAAAAACGAGAGGCGCTGAAGGAATATCAGCCTGTACCGTCGTATGCTAAACAGGCTCGGTTTGAAGATGCCTGCTGCCATATATGAATAATTGCAATATCGATAATAAAAGCACAGAGAAATTGTGGCTGTCCATTTGATTCCTCATTGCTAGGCCAAACAGCATGGAACAAACAGGAATTAAATTGTGGTCGTCATTGTGACATAAATAGGGTTTTAGTCGTTTTGGAAAAAGGCTAACCCAGGAATAGCTAACATGCTAGCTTAACCACTACAACCAACACCGCCCTAATGACGGTGATTAACATTCCTGTCTGAGACGAACACTCGTGGAAGTTTTACGTACAGAAAAACGTTTTGAGGGCAGAAAGAAAAATGACTGGTTCAGAGAGATAACCAATCAGATTGCAGAAGATGTGGGACCAACCAATCAGATGTCTTAGTCCCACCTCCTTCAGTTGCTTGGGCCCATGAGCAATATGAACACCCTCCTTTCGCATCCCCCCCATCGGCAGAGTAGACCCTGGCCATGTGAGGCGAGGCGACAAACCTTGTAGACCTTAGAGAAGAAGCCACTGCCCACCAGCTCGGCGCTGAAGCCCTCCCAGAACTCCAGGCGCCTCACAGTGGCACGAAGCCGCTGCCAGCGGTCCGCATGGTCGTAGCAGTCGGAGGACTCAGCTTGGAGCGTGGGGCTGGTGGGCTCCGGGGTCACCTCACACATACTGGGAATCTCAACTGGCGTGGGAAACAGGGCTAGCGTTAGCCATGTTTTAAAGTACTGCTCTCTGTTAGAAATTCAAGTCCTAAGCTGCACTTGAAAGAATATTATATACTGTAAATGAAATGACAATTTTCTCAACCTACCATACTATGCAAAAGTCTTAGGCAGTCAAAGACAAAATGTTCAAAGCTACTTATCTGAGTAGGAAGTGTATATTTGCTCAGGAAAAAAAAACTAACATTGGAACATTTGCAAATTAAGAGTAACACAATAAAGACTAATAAGAATTTCTTCTGTTCTCTAAAAAGTTACTATATCTTGCTGGATGGCTGGATGAACACCGCTTCAGTTCCCAAACCTCTCCTCAGGGGCACCCCAGCCGTTCCATGTATTCATTAAATTTCATCACCAGCTCTCTTAATTTGTTTTTAAGAAGTCAATGACCTATTGATTACCCATACAAGGTGTGCTTGTGGTCGAGTGAGAAAAAAAAAACAAATGGGTGAATTAGATGGTAAGTGCAAACACCGGGGTGACTTTAGGAGAGGTTCTGAAATGGCACACTTTGCAAGACATAATATCATAGTTTTACTCCAACATGAAGTACCTAAGACTTGCGAACAGCACTGTAAATACTGGAGTCCATCCATCCATTTTCTGTAACTGCTTGTCCTGTTCAGGGTCGCTGGGGCTCGGGAGCCTATCCCGGAGTCTACGGGTGCAAAACAGGGTCAATTTTGGAGTCTTTATAGGAAATAAAGGACTCCTGGTAGTTTGGGTGGCTAGGGTTAGAGGGGAGCACTGCTGCCTAATGCCATTAGGGTTTGGGGTTTGAGTCCCACCACTGTTCTGTGTGTGGAATTTGTATGTTCACCCATTGTAATGTGGGTTTCCTCCCACAGTCCAAAGACATGCAGTTAGGCTAACTCACTTCTTGAAATTTCCCACAGTGTGTGTATGTGTACTGTATTGAACTGGCATTCTCCAGGGTACTGTATACTATTTCCTATGCTGCCTAGGACAGGCTCCAGGATACTTCCCCCTCCCCGAGAAGAATAAGCAGCTGGAAGATGGATAGATGTTCATTTCAAGGCAAAAAGCATGGCCTCATGTACCCCAGAAAGAGTCAGGGAAGCAAAAATGAAAGAGTACGAAAAGAGATAACTACAGTATGTTCTCTGCAAACTGCTTTCCCCTAGCGGGCGCGAAGCAGCGATGGGGACTTGGTTTGGTTTTACACTTCAGCTTTGCAGGAATCAGCTGGGAGCCACCATAAACGTCCCACAGCATACTGCCACCAGTGAAGACACTGATTAAAATTACACTGCTGCAGCCAGAGGGATTAAAATTCCATAATACCACATGAGAAGTCCTTCTTTTTATATGAAGTGAGCTTTGAATAAAAAAGAAACAGATTGTCATAAATGGCTACAATTGAAAGATTCAAAATAGTACTCTTTTTGTTCTAAGTTTCTAGTTTCAAAAGTGAAATCCAGTATCTTTAATCCTTATGGTGTCTTTTTCCAAAAGCCTCCATTTATTCATGTTCCAATGAGAAACTGACTTTTAATAATGTTTGGTCCCTTTAAAAAGCCCCTCAGATACAGCTGGGCCATGAAGTCCACACCCTCAGTCTAGCTTATGCCCCTGATCACTGGCTGCTTGAGGCTTTCTTCCACGTCATATGGTCTTTCCAACTCCCAACAAGGCACTGAACTCACAACCAAGCCGTGTTCCCTGTTACCATTGTCCCGGGCAGCCAATCTGGGCTGGGTCAACCATGTAATTGGCCTCTAGGGCCAGAGACCCACTGCGGGCCCAAAACACTTTCCAAGCCCCTGGTCCAAACTGCTATCCTTGCATTGTAACATCAACTCCTTTACACACATCCAGCAGAATAAACATTAAGAAATCTTCAAGTTACAGAAACACTGCAACTGAAAAATAAACTCACCATCAGACATCTTATAATGTGAAGGCCTTAGACCCCAAAGCTTTGACCTTTGGCTCACCAGAAAAGAAAACCCAAGCATACATATAAGGCCCACGCATCAGCCACTTATTTTATGCTCATTTGTTTTCCACTCTCAACATGCTTATTTTCTCATGTGCTCTTATTTTCTTGTGCCAGACACGAGTTTCCTTTGCAACGACGAAGAATTCCTAAGTGGATTTCCCATAAGCGCCAGCCTTAGTTCACCCCACCCACAGGAGTGCGCTGCCAACTCTGCAGCCTTCGTAGCTATTATTCAAGTTCACACAGGGGTGCGGTTATTTCCTATCCAGGGACATTGGGGGGGGGGGCATTGAACCCAGAGCACAGAAAGTGCTGTGAAATTCTTGCTTGCTGGCTTTTGGAAGCACAGAGATCCATCCTCACACCTGTGAAGGGGCTCGTATTTTTTTTGCCGTAGAAACGAAATCCCACCAAAACAGGGGTGTCATCAGAAAGCTGCCCCCCAGGGGGCCAAAGTAGGATCCTGGCGGTATACTCCGGTTCTGCTCCTCAAAGATTGTGTTCATACCGAGGGAAGGTTCCCCCTGTGATGGCAACACCTGAACATAGTGGGATCTGATCCCAATTACTGCCATATCAATCATCAGATCCAGCCCTACAGTTACCACTGTATCTGGGTGGGGTTCCAGTGACCTTGTCAAGACCTTGTTAGGATGCCTTCAAAATAGCTATGAATATAAGTTACTATTTACAGGTGTGTAGCAAGACTTCAGTGGAACACGGTGGGCTTCTCACACTGCTCCCACCACGCTGTTTGCTACTGAACATCCAGGTGGGAAAACGATGTGAATGAATGAGCGTATGGTAACTCATCATCGCAGCGCGTTAACCTCAGTGTTAAAATTTTGCCAGGACATAAAACAGAAGGCCAGCGGTGCCGTCTGTGAAAATCATGAAATACTCCAGAAGCTCTTTAGATGAATCCAAAGCCTCCATCTTAAAGCAGACACGGCGGCACTCTGTGGGTTGCCGGACAGACCGAGGAAGCAGATCAAACCTCAGCCCGGTCTGAACACAGAGTAGAACCAGCAGAGCACAGAGGATCGATTCCTGGCCAGTTTCTATTGCATTCTGGGTAGCACTAAAAGGGCAGGGGGAATTAGAGGATTAATGTATCAGGGTAAGTGTTTCTGACACTACTTCTGTGCTATAAAACCATGAGTGAAATTCCCTCCTGCTGCTGCTGGCTTGCAATGGCACCCGCATCACCCCCCCCCCCCCCCCATTACATTAATGGTGTCGTTGTTGTCAGGGGTCAGGGGTGGCAAAAGTTGACTGAGGGGGGCCGTGAGCTTCAGCCTGAGTAAGCTTGTGTGTCCATTCTCACCGGACCGACGAGCCCCGCCACTGTCTAATGTGCAAAGGGTCCGGCAACAATCCCCACAGGAGTGATGTTAGAAAACAGTGATGTGTCGATATGTCAGGATGGCACCGTCCCGGGGGGGGGGTCCTGATTAACGGAGCCGGGCTCTGGCGAACCGCATCGGAGACTTCCAGCAAAAACAGTGGTGGTTTCACAAAGGGTATCAAATGGCTGGCTGCTGCTGTACCAGCTCCTGTGTTTTTCACATTTCACTTCGGGGGGAGGGGGAGGCTGGAGGAGACATCCAACAGTGGAAAAAGCTACAGAGACCCCCCCCGCCCCAAGGTCAGAGCTCTGAGGAAGAGCACGACTGCACCGTAACTTAACACTATATTCATTAGTTGCTTCTGTCTAACGACTGTAAGTTTACAGCAGGTTTATTCAGCTGGTCATCACCCAAGGGTACAACAGAAGCCCCTCTTCTGGAATATGACCCCAAAACCCTTCACGTGTTAAATCAGCCTTCTTTAAGCCACTGGGTCCAAAACGTATTTTTACATGTGAAAAGAGGACAGTAAATCGTAATCTGTTTTTGGATTCAACTGCCTTCAAAAGCAGAAAGTTTAAGTGCACATCTGAATTTTCCAGGAGCACGTGGGGTGGGATTGGATAGTCGTTCACTGAAGTGTCCCTTTGTTCTCCTGCACCCTGAAACGTGCCGTTCAGAAAGCTTCATCCTCACATTGCCGATGCCTTTTCTTTCTACACTTCATCCAGGGCTCTAGTGTGACTTCATGCGTTTATAGCCCAGCCGTGCCCCTTACTTCTGTAACTGACTGTCTGCTTGCAGATGCTTCGAATAGCCACCCACTGTTTTGAGGTATTGTTTCACATCAGGGTTTGTTTATAAGAGGCAGAA